GTAAGTGATGTTTGTTAAATAAATATGAGTATCTTGGTTTTTTACCCTTAATTAATAACATGCTTTGTTCACGTGTGCACTAAGAGTTATACACGGTGGGTTTTTCGTGTGGTGCATTTATTCAGAAACATGATGTTTATCAATGATAGTGCAGTTATTTAGTATGTGTGATGTTATTTCAGTTATTTTATTCAGACACTGACGCTGTATTGTTCTTTATTTTCTAGAACCACACACAATTACCTTAAATAAGAAATAAACCACAAGTACAAGTTGAATCACCTGGAGTAGGACTCTGCGTTCTTTGGAGTTCTGACCGACTCACCTCAGTGTTCTGCATATTTACACCAGCAATTACAACGTCTAATTTCATAACATGTTATTTTAGTTTTTCAAAGAAAAAATATTGTTGAACCAACTTAATTGAATTGCTTCATTTGGTAACAAGTAACTCAATTAAGTTAAACCAACTTAATCCATTGAGTTGATTTAGCTGAAATAAGAAGGGGAGGACACACAGTTAAGGTCATCAGGCTGAAATAAAATTTACAACAGCCAAGTTGTGCTCTACCCCTGCATCACTTCACCACACTGGATGATACAGGATCTGTCTCTGGTGAAGCTTGTGATACGAATGCAGCATTGAACGAATACGTTCTACAGCATGATTAATGTACTCTAAATATAACATTTTTAGAGTACTCTCAAAAGTCTCCAAAGTGTTTGGTGCAACACTGTGAGTGTGTTATTATTTCGGACTGAGTGACAGATAAAACTCAACAAGGATTTAATGAAATGTTTTGATCCTGTACAACATAGAGTACTTCATAAAATGAACATCATAATAAAAAACCTTTTATTTTCTGTCATCTGTTTTCATTCAAAGGTTTCTTCAGATTAAAGAATGAACATAATATCCTACCTGACCATAGATATGAAAAAATAAACTTACATAAAAGTCACAACATTTTCCCTTATAAATTAGGGATTTATAATTTAAGTCAACTAAACACACCTAAACAAAATAGTAATTGAGAGATTAAGTTGTATGCTATGGCAAGAAACAGACACAAGACAGACAGATTAGTAGAAAGGCATAAATTCGGATATCTAGAAAACTGTTTCCTGAGAGATATTCTGCACTCGTGAACCTATCCAACATCTAAGCTTGTGTGTTCTGATATAAACTGTCTGTAGAAAGACAATACCTACAGATACACTGTGGTTAAACTTGCAAGTTTAGCTCTAGAACACTTCCTGTGGAAGCTGTCATGAGCATTACATACTGCATAATATACTGTTTTACCTACAGTATATTATTGTTCTCCCATTTTGAGCCATTACAAAAATGTTCCTTTGCAGAACTGTTTTGCTAAGGCTTCATTCAAGCTTCACTCTGTCAAAATAAATCTGATTTCTATCCAGTATTTATAATTCATTAAAATCAACCATCCCCCAACCACCTCTCTTACTTCATATAGGAAGTGCCTAAGAGCTTCCTCTTATACGATTGAAAAATGGCGATCGTCACATTTCTATTTGCCCTGTTTCTATTCTACTCATTTCAAATTCAAGGTAAATACAGCTCTGTTTTTAACTTTCAACATTTTGACAATTTTATATTAGTTCAAAAGTAGTTATACGTGTTTTCGTTTCATGAAGCAAGTGGAAGAAAGTAGAAAGTTCAGTTCAGGAAGTAAGGAGGGGAGTTCCAGTAAGACAAGAACTATTCAAAAGCTTTAAAAAGTACGTTTTTGTGCACATTTCTTTGCACTGAAACTCCTTCAGGTTCACTAATTCACAAGCTAGAGCAGCAAAACTCAAATGAAAAAATGTTTGGTTGAGATCTGTAGAAATTACTCGAGTCTTGTAGGCCATGTGCCTTTAAACCTTTACATTTTTATTTTATTCAGGTTCCTTTTACCTTTTTTAATTTCAATTTCTCCATTTTCATTTGAGTGTCAGTTTGTTCAGACGAGGATGAAAGAAATATAAACGTTCTGATTTCAACTGATTACAAAATAAAAAAAATTAACATTTCAATGTGCCACTAGAGCTAATGTGTTCCTGTGAAACAATAAATAAGTAGAAAATTACTATAATAATTTAGAAATTTACCTTTGTCTGTTCACTATAAATACTTGACAACTTTGTACTTATCTTAATTTATTTTGTTTTCCATTTTCCAGGTTCCTTTGCAGCAGTGACTGATGTGTTTGTGAAAACTGGAGATGATTTTATTCTTAATCTCACAGAAGCTGAAATTCCACCAAATTCTCGCATCTGTTTATGGCAATTCAAAGATGATTCGCTGGTAGAGTTTTCGCGTGGCTCCCAACCAAATGTTGTTAACAATCACTCTGGAAAAGTTGAAGTTATAGAAAAAAGTTACAGTGTGAAATTAAAGGATCTACAGAAGTCACACAGTGGTATTTATACTGCAAAGGTAATATCACCTAAAGAGCAAATACTCACTCAATACAACGTTACAGTTCAAGGTAAGTTTTTCTGATATTTATATTTCTGATATCTATATTATGTAGCAGAATAATGTGCTACATACTTCCAAATGGACGAAGAAGTTAAAACTTTAACACATGTAGCCCACAGGATAACCCTGTCAGAATCTCAGTTTGGGTTTCAGACCTTTAATAAAGGAATCCATATTCAAAAACATTACAAGCTAAAACAAGATGCTCTAAGAATAATGTTACTCTTTGAGTTACATTTCTTGTTGAATTTCTGCCTCTTTTTCTGTTTCTGATGTTCTAAAGCTTCTCATATAAATTTAATCTCCCAGATCCAGTGTCTCCAGTTGATCTCAACGTTACCTACATGTCCTGCTCCTCCTCCTCCTATAACCTGACATCGACCTGCAGGGCAGACGACTCTTCCATCAGCATCACTCTAAGATGTGAGAAACAAACCTGGACCCAGGAGGGAGGAGAGAGAAGATTGGTCACCAAATCTGGATCTTCTCTTCATGTATATCGGATGGAAGAATCAATTGTCTGTAAACATAGCAACCAAGTCAGCAGGAATGAATCAGTCAAACAGATTGAGAATCACTGTACAAATTACGGTAAGACATCATAAAAATAAAATTTTGGTTTCAACCCGGTTATAAAACTGATAAAAGTTGTTTGCATGTTCACTTATTTTATTATTATGCTTTATTGGTTATATCAGAGAATCTATACATTTCAACCTGAGTATTTATAAACAACAAAAAAAAACTATTTCAAATTCAGGCCTGAAAAGTATGACATGAATTTAGTTTCTTCTTGCTTTCACAGCAATGATTTTATTAGTGTTATACAGGTTTTGTTTACGTTCACTAGTATAACTGAACTATTTCCCTTTTTTGTCAAAACCCAGAAAACATTACTGGTACTTTACATTGATCCCGTTGGTTCTTCTACTCCCTATAATTTATATTCTATGTTGGAGTCACAAGAAAAGTAAGTTCAGGTTTCCATTAAGTGTTGTGGTTAATCAATATCTGTGTAGCCTATGATGCATTGTCTAGCAAAAAGTATTCATGTTCCTATAATATTACATATCACAGACCAACACAAAGTGGACAATTAAGAGTTGAAGGACAAGGAAATGTTATTTCTGTTTACATCACAACTCTGGTTGAGTAATAAATATAGGATTTTAGAAGGAGTGGCAATTATAAAATAATTTAAAAACAATTCTAATTATTTGGACTAACAGTGGTTCAGGAGGTAAAAGTTCATCCTCTAATCGATGGGTTATTAGCTCCATTTGGGTCAGGATGAGCTTCACCTTCCAGCAGAAAAACAACCCTAAGCATACATATACAGATACTTCAAAAGGTTAATTTTAAGCTTACTTTAAATTTACCTTAATATTAAGCTTTAAAACAAATGCATGAGATTTTTATCTTATAAAAAAATGTCAAAAAACTGCATGTCGTTTTTTTTTTTATTGCACAGTTTTTAATCTGATAATCAGATGAGATCCACTGAGGATTTTGGTTCTGTGGTAAAATGTATGTCATAGTGTTGGATCTATTACCCAACACTCTTGCTGGACATTAATAAGGACACAGGGAGACGGTTAAATTTTCTTATGCAATCTTCCAATTGAACAGAGAACTCTGCCCAAAGACATCCCATTGTCTCTGTCTCCGGACCAGTTCTAACGTGCTCCTCTGCAACTGCATATTTTATTATATTGAGGCGTAGCTTAATTACAAACATTTGCATAGAAGGAGTGGCAAACCCAATACACATTCTCAAGGTGCTGTCTTTGCATCTCCTGATGTTACAGTTGTTTGTTGTCTCTCTGGACCATAAAACTAGAGTTTCTTGGGAGATCTAGACTTTGATCCACTCTCCTCCCTGGTTTACATCTGTGGTCCCTTTGTCCTCCTGTCAGGGCAATTGTGATTGCAAGCATCCTGCTCCGTTCCCGGGATTCTCTGGTTCAGTTCCCGTCCCCCTTTGGGGTCGTAAAATTCAGTTCCTGAGGCTCTGTCACCCTGGCCATCCGTCTCCAAAGTGACAAACTCATTGCTTCAAAGATAAAAGAAACACAGATCCCAGGGCCAAACAAAGGTTTATCAACCCTTGTAGTCTCCTAATCTTGAATATTTATATTTGTATTTATATAAAAATCTAACACAAAGCAAGGTGCTGTGTATGTATATACACAGATTTACTTTAATGTCAATAGTATTTATTGGCAATTTTTATTTACAACAGCAGGGTTAAGTAGTAATTTAGTTAATCGTTTTTAATTTAAAATAGCTTAAAACACCTGTTAGGTTGTAATTATCTGTTAAACTTACAACTTATAATGTTACCATATCTATTCTGAGGATGAGAATATAAAAAACAAATTTGGACGTAATGTAGGCATAATTCAAGTTATCTAAAAAACCAAAATGGTAGTCAGAACAGGTAATTAGAGCAAGATAAAACAACAATATTCAAGCCAACGCTTTTAAAGTATAAATTATTTGTTTATGTCTCACCAGCAGGTGACAAAGACAACGTTGACAACACAATATATGCTCTTCCTGTGGTAAGTGATGGTATTGCTTCCCTCTGTGCTTAAAAATATATAGTTTAATTTAATAGACAATATTTGATTAAAGGAATCTGTAAAACTCAGAAAACATTTTTGTAATTTAAAGCATTAAGTCGACTGTTCTATCTAGTTCTTTTAATTACAAGTTGAAAACATTTGTTTTTGTAGTATCTCTGTCTGGTAAATGACCCATTTTGGCTTCTGAACCTTTTCCTAAATTAAAGGTTTCTGATTCTCATGGGACAGAATCTCCTTCCCTGTCTGATTAAAATAGTTTGAAACCTTTTTTTTTCCCTCCAACAAGCTGCATTAATTTAACCTAAAGATCAGCAGGTGTCAGTAGGATGATAAACAACTAAACATGGACTAAACACCAACTCTAACACCGACCCATGAAGATTGGAATCATCCATTCTCATACTTTAATTGGACAAAAAAACTGCAATTAGTATTTTAAAAGTTGCAGGTCAAATGTGTGTCCCAATATAAAAAACTGAATGAAATAATGCAGGAACACAAACTTTAATTCCTGCTTTTTTTTCATGAAGCTTTGCTTCTTTTTCATGGTAACATTTGTTTTTGTACCAAGGTTACTTTCTTTATGTGCAGCACATTTTTGTAGGTTTTTCCATTTATGTGAAAAATAATTTAGGGGAGATCTATCGATACATTTTACTTGCTGGAAGTTTCTAGATTTACTTCAACTTCCATTTTCATTTGGTTTCTTATCCATACATTTCTGAACTCTGTGAACCTTTACAGGATAAGACAAAAGCAAACAATAATGCATGCACAAACTCAGATCTAATTACAGTTTAGGATGGGCCATGGACCTTGCATTTCAGTTCAATATTTATTGGTCACAATAGAAACATGTTTTCCTGTATGATGAAAAGCTTATTTTACTGTCTGTAAAAGTGACACTTAAAAGGTACAAATACACAAATATAAGTATAAATGTCTTCATATAAATGGAGGAGTTTGGAACAGCTGGAGAAAATCCCTAACACCCTAAAATCAGGGTTAGCATAGATTCCTTCTTGTCTCTTTACCATCTTCTTAAGCTAACCCTCTAATGTTACTTTATCAGGTGGTGGATGGACAGATCCAGAGTTGGCTGACTTTGAACTCTTGGTGATCATGAGTGCCACAATAGAGCCGACCTCTGCCACCTGCCAGGTCCGCACTTCCTACCTGCCAGACGAGATCCTCTGGGGTTACGAGTTCCCCCCCGTCGTCTCTCTCTCCCAGTCTGGCAAATATGTAGCAGACTTTTCCTTCTTTGACAAAGTGGCGAAGACCAAGACGACCCCTGTTTTCAAATCAACCAGTTTGCAACACGAATACCAGAGCAACGGAGGTGGACCCATGTCTGAAGTGACAGACCCGGAGAAAATTCGCCTGGAGCAGAGCTACAGGGAGCAGCGAGGCGAAGACCGAGGCCGAGTCAGAGACGGCCCCATAAGTGTTCGAATCAGCAACGTCTGAACAGCTAAACTGGCTGAAAGTCGGACATTTTGTAGCAAAACAACATGAGAGTTTGTGAAGCCTTTCACACATGTAAGACAATGATTGTTTTAATTTTTTTATCAAAATGACTTAAGGCAAAACGTACGGTACGGATTTTTGTAAGGAAATATTTGCTAAAACTGCTGTCATTTATTCTCATCTCGTCACTTCTGATGGAATGTCTAAAAAATCTATGCTAAAAGAGTCAAGTAAGAGAGAAATTCAGTGTAAGTCCAGTATAATTAATCTCAAATTAAACTGAAGGATGTGAAATCTACAGAGTTCTACCTTCACGACAACAGAGGAACATACTTTTTGCCTTGCACACTTAGTGATGATCTGACCGTCCAGGGTTTGAATGCTCAGCACTCCATATCGTCTATTAGTGCCTCCAATTTGCTTAAATTGTTTTCAGCTTATTTATTTAGAAAGCAGATCCCTCTCCCCAACCATGTCAGTCACTCCAAACATTCACTCACACAGTGAATCTTTATCAAAGCAGACAGAGTGTCTGCATGGCATAGGATGAGATTAAGTCATTTTTGCAATCTTTGGAACTGAAACACTTATAACGCATAATGTTTGTAAATTGTTACTATAAGAATTTTTTAAAAAGTTTTTTCCACCTTTTTTAGTGACATTTTTCGAAATGAGCCTAGTAAAAACTTAAGAGAGATAACGCAAAAAATCTGCAACAACCTGGAGTCATCAGTGTGCTCAACCTTAAACTCTTTGTTGAATCTCTTCTTGATTAATTTCTCGCATTCAGTTTCCTTTGGTAGGAGTTTAATACCCAATGTCTTGACCTAGAAACATTTCCCGTGCCCTCTGTGTTCACAGTCTCACCGATTTATAAAATTGATTAGAACCTAGTTTTGCATGCGGTGCAGTGGTGAAGCTGGTCTTCTGCTGATTTATTTGGATAGTGAAAAAAATATCTTTCTCTTCAGCTTTCTGTAATAATCTGTAGCTTTAAGTTTTATTTATGTTTCTGTTGCTTCTTTACTTCTACTCTCCTTTTTGCCATCTTAGTTCATCCCTTGTATCAGATCAGCTGTTTCATTGTTTCTGTTTTGGATTCAGTTCTTTCTTTCTGTCAGCTGAAGGTTTTAGATGAAATGTATCTAGCATGAGGAAATGTTCATGACTTTACAGTCTAGTCTTATATCATTTGAGGGAAACGTAACTTTAGAGAATGATTCAGTCACCAGCTTGTTTCACTTTGGTTGCTGTTCATTTGCTGGTTTGTGGTGTTTTTGTGCCAGACTTACCGCCTATAACTGTGACTAAAAGTTCCAGTTTGTTTCTATCAAACCACAATGGGCTTTTAGCCAGAACTTTTCTTTTAAAGGAAAAACATTTATCATGCAGTTCTACCATATGACAAATCCCTGACGTTGCTGTCACATGTGAACCATAATACTTCTTTTTTTAGCATGACTGTCATTACTGTGGCATGACAGATGATTCTTGTACAATCCTCCTGAAAAAATGCTTTTAAGTTTTTGTTGAACATTGTTTAAAAAAGTGGCTAAAGTTTTTGATTAAGGTTATGCACATGTTGGCAGCTTTTTAATTTGATCCATCTTCCTTTTTCAGTCGTGTAAAAGGACATGTTACATCAAAGGTGGAAAGTATTTATCTTGGCCAAATTTTTATATGTCACAAAAATCTGGTATTTTACCAGATTTTTTTTTTGTTCACTCTAGTTGAAAACACGTCACTTAAAACAAATGAAGTACAAAGTTTGCAAACTTAGACAGTACATGAAAACAACCGTTTTGTGAATGTAGATAACAAAAGCTGATTTACATAAACACCCATTTATTTATAGTGTCATATAATCGTGTAAAAGCTGAAAGGTCAGAAACTTATTCTGGTCTCTTTCGGTACTTCCCAGAGCACTGAAGCATCACCTTACTCACTCAAAGGTGAGACAGTCTGAATGTGTTTTTAAAAAGGTGAAAAACAGAAGTAAGGGATTAAACATAAAATACCCCCAGTTTCAAAGAAAAACTATTTTTCCCCTCTGCTGTTCAAGTGAATGTTTTATAATTTTCTGCACTTTAAAAGTGCTTAACTAAACCCAAAAGGGAAATTGCTTAAGATGCAAATAGCAACGGTTTGTTGAGCACAGAAGCAGAAAGTCCTATGACTTGAAGTATTTTCTTCTTATATGGAAAGAAAAAATAACACCCGGCTCAGAAGTCTCTCTCTCAACTTCCTCCTAAGCATCTGATCAGTATTTTAAAATTTCCTGTTGCAGTTTGCAGTGGAAACTGTTCAGAAATGTTTTTCTCCACTTTAGAGTTCCTTATGGTGGATAGTAAACTGCATCTGTTAGTGCTGAATGTAATTATTTTGTTAAACTAGAACATGATATCTGTTTCTGTATCAAATGAATATTGTAGCACTTTATTGAAGTAAATAATGATTATTTGCACCTTCAGTAGATTAGTTGACAATTTGTTACCATTTGTAAAATATTCCACTGTAAGCACTCTGAATTTATATTGACCAACTTCATTACAGCTGCTGTAAATGTAAAAAGATAGTCAGAAACCTGCTGTTTCTTTGTCAACAACGTGCAAATGAACAAACTCCAGTGGATGTAAATACTCATGTAGAGATGCATCTGTGCCTTCAACAGCGAAGAAAGTCTGTAAGATGCAATCACTGCATAAACAATTGTTGGAGTTACTAATTCGTGAAATGAAAAAAAAAATTTCTCCTACACATATAAATGAAAGTACCTGATCAATAAGGGCTGAGATATAAGAATGTTATATAAAACAAGGAGGTTGTGACTGATAATAAGGTGTGGTGTATCTTCTTCAGCTCTTTGAATTTCATATTTAAATTAGGTAATTCTTTAACAACTGGTCTAATAAAGCTTATTGCATTTGGCTCATGTCTTTTGGTTTAATTTAATCACAACTGAGTTCCCAGATAGTTTCAATTTAATCCAAAACCCAGTGACATTGTAAAAAACAGATAATAATTGGCATAAGGATAAAAAAAAGAGCAAATATCTAAAACTCTGATGCATTTCTGAAGAGTGTAAGAGTAAGAATAAGTGATGAAATCATTACATTAAAGTATCAATTCAGTTCTGTATTTTCTATAGCAACAATTCACTAAAATGAAGCCAAGATGCAAATTCAAACTGGAAGACTCTGTAGCCCCACCTGTATCAACCAATCGGTGCGTCTCGCTCATCATCATCGACCTATCAACGCTGGACCAAGCCATATTGTGGCCAATCTCTTCAACATGTTATCCGAAGCCCTCATCTGGATTCTTCTTATCATTAAACTTCCTTCTGTGCTTCATCTTCTTGATGATTTCCTCCTCATTGATCTGCCCTTTCAGCCCCTCCACTCGCTTCAGAAACTGGAAGATCTTTTTAATTGCATCAGCGTCCCCCTTCCTAAGGAAAAAACCGCCGGTCCGTCTATAAAGTTAGAATTTCTCGGCATCACCCTGGAGTCAGAGAAGATGTTGGCTTCGTTGCCGACTGACAAATTATCTGTGAGATTTCTCAAGCCCACCTCTCATCTCCTGCTCTTTCCAAACCTCAGCTTTTGTCCCTGCATGGGCATCTTGACTTCGCCTTACGTATAAATCCACAAGGACGTACTTTTTTTCCCAGGATGCTTCTTTGTTAGATCAGATTAGATGATGGCTGTCGCTCTGATCTCACTATTTGGTCTAAACTGCTAAACCGCTGGAACGGCATCTCTTTATTTATGATGATATAATTCTCTCCACCGATTCCATTCGGTTCTATATTTAGAAAATTCCAGAATTTGCACATAACTTTATATTTTTGTTTTTTTGCTCATTTTAAATATTAGATCAGATGTCACAACTTGGGACTCAGTACCAGAGTAGCCATTCCCCCTCCCCCAAAAATACTTGTTGGGCCCTTTGTGTCCACTCCACCCACCTGAGTCAAACACTCAGAGCTGATCACTGCCAAACTCACAGATTCAAAACATCTCTTAAGTAAAACCTGCAACATGTTTGCACTAAAACATCTCAAACAGAAAAAAGTCATGACCAGATCAAAAGAAATTCAAGAACAGATTAGAAACAGTAACATTTGCAGGGTGATGTTGCAATGATGCTAAGTTCATAATTAAAATGGTCACAATGCTCTTTTCAAAACGATATCAGTGGATGAGCACAAAACCAAACATGTTGTCTGTGTGGGAAAGAGGTATGAGATGTTTACTGGATGTGTTAAGTGGAACTGTGAAAATTTTTTATTTGACATCCTCCCCGTTGAATTGAGGAAACTGTGGCTCAGAAATAGATGTTATACTTCCTGATGTCACAGAGTCGACACAAAGCCATGGCAGTGGTAGTTCTACTTTTTTCTCATCCCTGCTGGATTCAGTTGAAGGTAAAATTTGTTATTTGTTGCAAAACGTGTTTAGCATTTGCTGTGGAAAGCTAACATTTCAATTGACAAAAATGTGGAGCTGTAGAAAGTACATTAGAAGAAAATCTGCTGAAGCAAAGTTCAGCTGTCAAGATATATAATTATTGTTAAAAAACGTAATACAAGATTTTTTGTAGAGTTGAGTAAACAACTGTTAGCTTACAGTTAGTAAAATGTGAACGTTTTACAAACAAGGTAAAAAAGTTAAACCAAGATATTTAAATATGCATTTTTATTATACATTTAGATTTTATGTTGCCGCTGCCATCAATCATAAATGTACATCTGCAACAGATGAATAAATGTGACATTTATGCTGATAAAACTCTGTTGTGAATGAAACATCCTTAGATTGTTGTAGTTTTAATTCAAGCTCCAGCTTGTCTGATATGGCAGTAAATTATTTATGCTTTATAAAATTATTTTTGACTGATCAGTCTATTTATAAGAAAATGACGAAACTCAGCACTGACAAGTATTTTCTAAGTGGATCAAATTCTTAGAAAACCTTTAAATGTTGTTCACAGATGTTTAATTTCTGTTTGGTTATTTTTGGCGGGCTGGTATTGAAGTCTAGTAGCTTTCTGTAGGATTGTTGATGCAGTAATAACAATCGTGTTGCAACGCAAAGACCTTGAGCGCGACTTTTGGAGTTTGCATGTTTTAACTGTGTTGGCTTAGTTTATTTAGATTTATTATTGTCCTTATGCAGCGTTAAAAAGGCTTTAGCAAGCATCCATTGTTGTGTTGGACTGCGGATGATGATTGGGACCCTGCTTTGTCAGCGAGCCTCATAGATCTGGTTGAGTTCAGTGAGCCGGGTTTCTTACTGCGCTCTTTGCTGCCTCACAGAGATTTTATGATGTAATTTTGTCTTTTCTTGTGCAGCTGTGTGATTTGTCCAGGACAAACTTTTGATCACAGTTTCTTCCCTGTGTAAATGATAAATAAATTAATTGATAATAGTCTGAAGTAGGACATGATGACACTTGGTTCTGTCATGGCTACTTTTGCATCGTAATTAGCTGAAACAAAAGAGTGTCAGTTTGAGGACCAGGTTCTGAGCGGATTAAAAATAAAAAGCTTGAGCGGAGATGTTTCAGTTTCATCAAAAGAACAATTTAACAGAACAGAAATATTCTCAGAATTAACTAAACACAAATTCTTATTATACACATTATCTTGAGGTAGAAAAAGTGTTTCACTTCTCATTTCTTCAGTGCAAATAATCAGACCAACCACAGCAGCTGCATTTTCTTAATCACAGCAGAAGCTGACCTGACAAAAAGGTCCTAAACAAAACATAACAAATATAAAGACTCATCCACCATCTGTAATCATTAGAATAATTTTGGATTAATAATAACATTTATCATGTAGCAAATAATTAATTTGTCAAGTACCTAACAGGTTCCAACATTTAGTGTAGCTGTAAAAGCTGATGAGGAAGTTCGTTAGCAGAGCAGATTTTTTCCGCTTCTGATATTTAGAGACACCCTCTCAACACTGACGGTTAAGTTACTGCATTTATGGTGTTGAATACATTATTTGAAAATAGAAATAGCAGGTGGCACAACTATAAACTTGCCAAGACATCGCAGTTCACCTGAGCTGCCAAGACTTTCAAATAGACCATAAATAAGAGAGTCTGCCAACAGGAACATGGTAACCCGAGAAGAGCTGAGGCAGATATTCAGACTGAAAAACAAAATTGAGGAGGAGAAGAAATGTGAAAGTCAGGAGAAGTCTCACTTACAGTTTGCAACAAAGCATTTTGGGGACACAACAAATATGCTAAAGAAGTTCCTGAATATTTCACCAACATGTTAAATGCTTTATGTAATGGAGAACTAATACAGCACAACACCCTGAACATACCAGGCCCATTATCAGAGTCGGTGGTAGCAGCATCATGCTGTGCTTATCTTTCTCTTCAGTATGAATAGGGAAACTGGATGGAGCTGAAAACAGGGAACAAAACCTCCAAAAGATCTGATACTGGAGGTTCACCCTCCAGCAGAAAAACATTAAACATAACGAGCTAAAATTTATACATCAGTGTTAAAATGACCCACTCCATTTACAGGCCTAAATCTAGTTGGGAACTAACTACTGCAGAAAACTTAAAAGTTGATGTTTACAGACACTGGAGGAAAATGACAACGACAATAAAATAATTTTGATACGGATCTATTGGGTTGATTATTGAAAGATTTCTTTGGGGAAGGAAAAGTAAATAATAGAAATTTACAGAAGATTATCATGCACTGACAAGAAAGCAAAAATTTTATTCACACTGATAGAAGAGGTATTGCTCTATTAATAAAAAAAAGAGAGAGAAACAAAATCTCTCTTTAAATTGATGAGATTAGAAAAAAGTTTTCACTAAACAACTTATTCAATGAAGTCAATATTATTACTGGTTTTTGTCTTATGTTTATATCATTGAAGCATTGCATATAAATAAAATAAGGGACTATAGTGAAGAGATCCATACAAATATAATTATATTTGGACATTATATTATATATGCAATGCATATTTAAATAATAAAATGGTTAGATGAATTATGTGTTGATTCTAATTGAACTTAATCTATAACCTCCTCTCCACTTTACTGTTGTGAAAGTTTTCTCATGATGTTCCAGAGATTTATTATGATATTATTGTTTTCATTGTTGAAATGTAACTAAACTTCTTCTTTCAGGCTCTGAACGTCGGTTTGTGAAATTTGGATCAAATCTTTTACTGGAAATAAACAAAACTGACTTTGGCGAACATGACAGTTTTTTTTGGAAATTTAATACCAGTGTCAATCTTGTAAGACTTTTTCCCCACAGTGAGCCTATAATCACAAATATAGAGAGAACTGTTTTTTTAAAACAAGACTTCTCACTGCTACTAAGAAACGTGCAACACAATAACACTGGAATCTATGAGGCAAAAGCATTTGGAGACCAAGAAAAAACTGTAGCTCAATACACAGTTATAGTCCAAGGTAAGTTTTCTTCATTTGCTTCCGATATTGAAATCATTTCTAAATGTTTTTATAGCACTCTGTTTTAAAACAACTCAAATCTTGTTTTGATCAGATCCAGTGTCTCCAGTGAATCTAACAGTGACCCCCATTAACTCCAGCTGCTATAACTTCACTGTGACGTGTAAAACAGTGGATTCTCAAATCAGTGGAACTTTTCAATGTGAAAATAAAACCTGCCGTTCACTGGATCAAGCAAACCTG